AAGGTCGTTCGGCAGCAACATTATTTCTAGATGTTAGGAAAGCTTTTGATAAAGTCCCACATAAAAGACTCATACTGAAACTCCTATCTTATGGAATAAGTGGAAGGCTTCTTGAGTGGATAACTTCCTTTCTTACAGGAAGAGAACAGTTAGTTAAAGTCAACCATCACTTATCAACATCCAAACCGATAACCAGCGGCGTGATACAAGGTAGTGTTCTTGGCCCTACCCTATTCATTGTATTCATAAATGATATTGTCTCTATGATCAAGTATGGCAAGCCATACCTCTTTGCAGATGACCTCAAAGTTGTCTATGATTTTGACTATAATGATATGAATATTGTTAGTAAAATCCAAGAAGACCTAAATAGTCTATGTAATTGGAGTGAAAAGTGGCAGTTAACGTTCAATCCAGCTAAATCTGGGATAACATACTTCGGACGTTGGAAACCTAGCATGTGTCTATACATGTACGGTGACCTTGTCTCAAACACAAACACAGTCACAGATCTCGGGATAACATACTCAGATCTTACCTTTACTGAACATGCAAATAAGGTGGTATCTGATTGTAAACGTCTAACCGGCTTTGTGCTACGCAACTTTTACACTCCAGAAGCCAGATTAGCCATATATAAGATATGCATTCGCCCCAAACTTGAATACTGTGCCCACTTATACAGTAGCTTTAAATCAGCAGACAGAAAAAAGTTGAAAGTGTCCAAAGATTCCTTACGAAACGCATATTAGGCTATGGTCAGCAAATAGAATACCTTGACAGATGTATTCGACTGGACTTAGAGCCCTTATGGTTAAGGAGAGTGAAGTGCAATTTATTTCTCTTATTCAAAGTTATAAGAAAGCACTGTAACAGTAACTCGTCCATAACCTGGGCTAATCCTAAATCGTATGGACTACGCAACCACAACTACCTTCTCAAGGTTAACACCCATAAACTCACCACTAGAGCTAACTTCTTCACCATTAAATATTGCAAACTTTGGAACCAACTACCCTCTGAGATAAGATCCTGTGAAAGGCCTGACAGTTTCAAAAGGAGCCTAGAAAAACATATAAACATGTCCACCCTAGCCCGCCTCAAAGATCTCAACTGCTGGTAGAGTGGAGAGACAATGGCTTTTCAATATTTAACTACGGAAAGTACACTAGTCCCAATACCAATATAATAACACTTAGTAATTATGTAGGTTCAATACTTGAAATTCGATTGTCATTAAAATACTTAAAATGATTAAAATAGCTATGCGGCAAGTGTTCTCTTGCTTTACCATGCTTGTTTCCCTTATAACACTCAGTTATTGAGCCTAATGTATTCTTTGATAATACGAATTATGACACTGACTATGCTCTTATTATACATAGATTGATTTACTTTACGACTACCTGTAGTACTAACTACCCTTCTGTAGTATTGTTAAACAAATGCTGAAATTTTGTTGGTTCTGTTAATATCTTTTTATAATATATGTAGACAGGTTACTTTGCAATGTCAAATGTTACTATATATAAGACTGTCATGATAATTTAGTACACTAAGTCCTGCCAACCGACCTTACCTTCAGTTCATACTACCTACATTGATCCCTAACTATATTGTTCTGCTGAATCTTGCTTCACTATTCACAAAACCTATTCTTTTTATTCTTTAAGGTTCTAACTTCTTGTAAAGTAATCTGTTCATTAGGACGCATGCATACATATATAATGTTCATAAAGATGTACGCGGAGACCTATTGGAAGCACTCATTAAGAAAGCTAGGGAGATGGAATATGAGGTACGAACATGTCTGGTACCAAGCAATATATTTGCGGTAGCCATAATAATCATAGTCTCAGAGCTTAACATCAAAAAAGGAGGGAGGGTGGCGTTAGCTGATCAGTAGATATGGTGGGGGTCACTAAGGTGAATCGCCCCATTCTGCAGGAACAGCAATATACAAATTAAAGGCTCGAGATATTTCTGATTTTTATGAGGGCTTAGATCTTTATCTTGAAAAAGATAATAATGAACGCCTTGACAGATCATGCTTCTACCTCTAAATATATACCATTCGCCCAGCCTATTGTTGAGATGCGACCATGTGGGATGTGCACAGTTTTATGGGGCATCTTATAAACTAACTTGCTGTCCATTGACTGATCTTTAAATACCACTTCACAATGTCTTATCTCATTCATTTTCCAATAACGTCTTTACTTGATCCTCATTATATCCCATTAAACCTAACATTTTACAGCTCTTTATGACTTATTATATTCCTACTCTCTGAAGGGTACGGTTGTACATTAAATGCACAAAAAGGTATAAAACAAAAACAACTGGCACAACTGAGGATAAATGTATTAAAACCAAAAGTGGACATCATGATAGTACGAGATATACGTGTAGCATTATACATTGCAAATGAACGTTGTCAGCCTAGGGAGTTTCTTTTTTTAATGCATTTATTAATGATACTTGCACTTACCTATTTCATTACAATTTAATGATTCACCTCAGCACTTTTACTTTTCTAAAACAGCTTTCAATCCCTTGTAAACGTTGTACTTACCTCAATATTGGTTGGTTATCGTATGCCGACAACCACGGGATGAAAACGAAACGAAGTCGATTTTCCCGCTCAACCTGGAGGACAACTGTACAATTCAATAACTATACAGCCTAGTTCAGACAATGTGTATTTATATATATATCAAATATTTAACTGTTGAAACATTATTAACTTGTAGACAATCTACGATTTGATATTATATCATACTTGATCGTGCCTGTAAAAATGGCATGCATTTTCATGTAAATTTATATGTTTATATGAGAATATACATTATTATTATTATTACATGCATTACTAGACGTCATGGAGCCTTCTCGATATCCACCTCTCTGAGGCCCTTTCGTCATCAATGATTGCGTTTTACTCTCAGTCTGCTCTATTCTAGGGGTGAGATGCAATATACTGGCAAACTTGCTCATCGATTGATTGACACTATCTTTTACTAGTTTCAGGATATCATCAAATTTTGGCTCGACACCCTCACCCTCCATACGGGAGCTTATCTTCACCCACTTCCTTTGCAGTCGAGTAGGTGGGCGTCTTGCTATTACTTCTAGTACATAACTCGAGTTGGGGTCACTCATGATATTCATAGAAATCAAGGTATTCTTATAAGTCATCAGATTATCTAAAAACTCAGTGAGTGCCTTGGAGTCATCTTGAAGTTGACTGCCGTTACCTTTGACAGCTTCGAATACGTTCCTTACAATCATTGAAGGTCTTCCAAACCTTTGACGTAATATGCCCATAGCCTCGTTGTCAATGGAGTTGAAGATTGAACGATCAATTCTTGGTTGTTTGCTCAAAACCAACTTCTCCAATTTTCGCGGAGGCATCAATACGACAGTCATCGTCTCATCGGTCGCTGTTCAGAAAGAAGAGTAAAACATCGTCAGAAGTAATATTGTGATTTATTATTGTAATATTTGTTCACAGACCTTAGTTGTAACATTGTTTATATGTTGGTGTAACAATAAAGAATCCTCGAGTCAACAATTGGTGTTTTGGTTTTTTCGTCCGTTATTACTAAGCGTTTCTGAAAACTTCAAGGAACAGCGTGAGCCCGAGCGTAGCAAGAGCTGGGCATTAACGGTTTACGAGACGTGGCTGACAGTTTCTGACGGTAGAAACAGATTCTGGCGGATTCAGACAGTTGGTGAAAGTTTGCATAGTCGCCGTTCATTTTTCCTGGTGCCGGTCAAGTCTTATTTGAACAGGCAATATCTGAGACGTTCTTGCAATCGGGTCAAGTTCAACAATGCCTGGGTCAAAGAAGGGACAGAGCGTCTTGGATGCGAACAGGAAAGTAAGTCATGGTGACTTGTCTGTTAATTGTAACGATGTGTCTGATGTTAAGCATGACATGGTTGATGTTACTGTTTCGCCGTTCAGGGATAATAGGAACATCAAACTCCCTAAATTTGAACCATGGTGTTTCGATGGAAATCCAGCTGATTATTTACAATTTGTAAAGGAGTTTGAGATCATGCTGAGTAGTTTCCTATTATATGATGAATTGAAGTTAATGTATTTGATGAGGTATTGCACTGGAATTGCTGCAAGGCTATACAGTGCTGTAAGTTTATGAAGCCAAAAGAGGACTACTACGAGTGTCAGCCACGTCTCGTAAACCGTTAATGCCCAGCTCTTGCTACGCTCGGGCTCACGCTGTTCCTTGAAGTTTTCAGAAATGCTTAGTAATAACGGACGAAAAAACCAAAACACCAATTGTTGACTCGAGGATTCTTTATTGTTACACCAACATATAAACAATGTTACAACTAAGGTCTGTGAACAAATATTACAATAATAAATCACAATATTACTTCTGACGATGTTTTACTCTTCTTTCTGAACAGCGACCGATGAGACGATGACTGTCGTAATGATGCCTCCGCGAAAATTGGAGAAGTTGGTTTTGAGCAAACAACCAAGAATTGATCGTTCAATCTTCAACTCCATTGACAACGAGGCTATGGGCATATTACGTCAAAGGTTTGGAAGACCTTCAATGATTGTAAGGAACGTATTCGAAGCTGTCAAAGGTAACGGCAGTCAACTTCAAGATGACTCCAAGGCACTCACTGAGTTTTTAGATAATCTGATGACTTATAAGAATACCTTGATTTCTATGAATTGCATGAGTGACCCCAACTCGAGTTTTATACTAGAAGTAATAGCAAGACGCCCACCTACTCGACTGCAAAGGAAGTGGGTGAAGATAAGCTCCCGTATGGAGGATTAGGGTATCGAGCCAAAATTTGATGATCTCCTGAAACTAGTAAAAGATAGTGTCAATCAATCGATGAGCAAGTTTGCCAGTATATTGAATCTCACCCCTAGAATAGAGCAGACTGAGAGTAAAACGCAACCATTGATGACGAAAGGGCCTCAGAGAGGTGGATATCGAGAAGGCTCTATGATGTCTAGTAATGCATATAGACCTAGTGAGTGTAACAGGTTTCGTAGTACATCCTCAACAGATAAGTTACAAGATGCAAGACAAACACGGTCGTGTTTTACGCGTTTTCAAGAGGTGCATACAAAGGTGAACTCTGAATCAGTGAGCAAGTTCAGTGATAAGCTAAATGTAAACTCCAGGCCTGACTCCGAATTGTGTGACGATAACGGTGCGGTCAGGAAGTCTGTAGTTGCAACTGGTAAGCCATTGTTGAATAGTGTCACAGAATAGAGTTGCTGCTTCAGAGTGCAGTTCTGACCCTACAAGTTTACAAGGTATTACTAGTCAGAGTGAAGTTATAAAACATTTTAGGATTTGCGAGGAGGAACCAAAATTGTCTACTTCTGTTATTAAAGAGTTTGAAAATGATGAAGTTGACGGTAAAGTGAATATTCGTGATAATGATCATGATACTTCACAGTTGTCTTTGGTTGATCATGATGAGCTGATAGATATGCCTACTACTGCTGAGTTGAACAAAAGTTCTGTACAACTTGAACGTGAAGTGTAAATAAATGCAGATGCAGTTGCAGAAGGCATGCATACTTGTGAGACCGTCAGTGTGAGTGATCAGCATGTAGCCCACCTATCATCAGATGGTAGTGTTAAACCTGAGCTGATAGTAAAAGACGGCAGTGGTGGTGGTCTTGCAGGTAGACAACTTTCTGAAAGTTGAGCAACAACAGCTTCTGATCCACCGCTAACTTCATCAACTTGTATCAATCAGTCGTCGTTGGTGTTGTCATCCACAATGAAACAGTCGCCCATCAACTCAAGTATCTTGTGCGATGACTATGCTAGTAACAGTTCGTTTGAAAGGACGAATAACAATGGTCAGTTTAGAGAGGATAAGCCAAGTGTAAACGAGAGAGTAATTGTTAAATTGACTTGCATGAATAAAGGCATTTCTAGTTTCAAGTTACTATTTGAATGTTATTATCTCTGGTGCAAATTACTCTGTGCCTACACTTGGTTGATGAGATACGTCATGTGTTTGTTCGTCATCTATATTCTACGATACAATTACATGAGCGTGTTATCGTTCAGATTTGAGGATATAGCTGATAGAAGGAAGTCAGCAAATGAACTCTGCGACGATTTTCCAACCTGTGGCGTCAACCTGAGAAGGGTTGTAGGCGTACTGCTGTAAGTCCTACAATTCTTCAAAGGGTAGTGCATCAATGAGCAGTCTAATGTGCTTGGTGTGTGATTTTGTACATATGTTCATATTGTATATAGTGAATTGATATCATCTGTCATCTAGCTGTTGGTAATTCTGTTTGTGTCCGTACGACTTCCACTTGGATCATCCACCTGAGAAGGAATGTAGGCGTACTGCTGTAAGTCCTACAGTTCTTCAAGGGTAGTTTGTCGTGTCAGAATCCACAACATTCGATGTAGTGATTGTACATATGTTTGTGTTAAATAGTTGTATGAGTTCCAATTAATGTAATTGTTGGTTAATCTTGTTTGTGTCCGGACATTCCACAACTTACAATCGTCAACCTGTGAAGGGTTGTAGGCGTACTGGTGTAAGTCCTGCGATTCTTCAAAGGAATTCCATCAAGACGTGAACTGCGAGTTTGTGTGTACAGTTTGTATATACGTGTGGTGTCTCATAACAATTGGTGTTTTTTGGATTCATTGTGTACTCGTTGTTTTCGTATCTTTTTGTTATTGCGTAATTTTGTTAAAATTTTCTTCGTACTTACTTCTGAAGTTGTTTCTAGTCTTTCACATTCGTGAGCGAATTGATTGATGTTAAAGAGAGCAGATGGGTCGTATACACTGGGGAGGCTATTGCTGAGAATGACATGCATACGGAGATAATTGTTAGCTGTGGTCTTAAACTCCGGGAGCGGGAGTGTAGACGACTGAGGCTTGCACACGTCACCGTTACTAGAACTGAGGCAGAATGAGTGACAAGCGACTGCAGTGGTAATCGGTAGTGAGTAGATAAGAGGACGTGCGTAGAGTATCATGAGTTGGTGCTATGGTCACGTTGCATCCTGCAAGAGTCATTCTAGCAAGTGGCGATTGTGTTGCAAGATGTCAAGAGGAGGTCTCTGTCTGGAGGCGCAGGTCGTCAGCGATGTGTGAGATTGTGCTGTGGGTATGCTTGTGGTGTGTTGGCTTTTCTGTTTGTTTTCGATTTCAGCTCTGTCCGTGTGACCCAGGTTCTCGCAATGGCATCCAAGTCAACGTGTATTAGTGGTGAAGTTAGAGACGTATCGATCTGTATTTTACCGGTTAGTTTCAGATTAGTTGAAGATTGAACGATCAATTCTTGGTTGTTTGCTCAAAACCAACTTCTCCAATTTTCACGGAGTCGTCAATCTATCAGTCCTCGTCTCATCGCTTGCTGTTCAGTGGAAGATAGGAAACTATCAGAACTATTATTGTGATTCATTGTTATATCATTTATTCTTAGACCTTGCGTAATAACTTTATTGTTGTTTTTATGTTGGCATAAGAATAAAGGATGCCCGAATTTCCAATTTTTGTCCTGGTTTTCGCGTTGGTTAATACAAAGTGCTTCTGAATCTCTTCGAGGGATAGCGTGATGTCCAGCGTAATAAGGGCTAAACTTTGACAGTTTCTGAGAGTTTGCTGACATATGTATTATTAAGAATGTTCAGTTCTAGGCTCATGAGATTGCCTTCCATGTAGGCCGGATTCTGAGTGATGCAGATCTTTAGGGACGTTTTTGAAACGAACATCAGTGATAATGAAGGTCTCAAGGGGTCTTATGGTGTGTCTCACTACATTTCAATTTTGACAAGCTAGGCAAGTATGAGCCCATCACCTAACTTCTTTATTAATACCTGTTCAACAGAACCGGCTGGTAATGTGTTTGTCGGTGGATGGAATACGTGTGTGGGATAAACCATGCAACTCACTGAAGACGTTACGGCGATGAAGGGCAAGGAGAACTCGTGGAAGTGTCACGTATGAGGGCGCCTCTCTCTATTCCTTGGAGATTCTCGGCTATTGCAATTTTGTCTTCCAAAAATCACCTTGAAGCTCATTAACTTCTTTTCCGAAGACTAGCCAGATCCACAAGGTGGTATGTAGTCATATGATGTTTGCATTGTTTTACCAGTCTGATATATTTTGCTATATGTTTATTGATCGTGATTCCATTATGACTCACAATATACCTTGTCTGTCCATTAACCAGATAAACAATATATGACCTTGTTGTCACATGACATTAAAACCAATCAGAGTCCAGCAGTGGTAAGAGAAACTGCTATCTCTCTTATTGGTTCATGTCTGTTAGTGATTTCTATATACTCTTGTATTGTACAGTTAATTCACACTTTCGCGCTTGGGTACTTTTTCACTCACACTCTTTTGTGAAAGTGAATTTTTTGTTGGAAATTACACGGAACTTCGTGAACGTGGTGGTCTTATGATTTTCCTCTTCGCATCAGGACAAATTAACTACTAATCGGTACCAGTCTGTACGCTATCAACCGCTATATCTCATTAGAGCCTATTTAAACTCGACCATAATATTGGTGACAACACTATAACATATTGACGACGACTCCATAAAAGATGTTCTATGCCATCTGTTCAGACGACAAAAACGTGTTTCGCAGGGCGTTTGCTGCGCTGTTGTTCAATCTGGTTACATGGATAATATCCTTTGTAATCTGTGGAAAATTTTTGTTGTCTTGATTCCCTTTGTGAGCACTTATTTGAATTTGAGTTCAGAGAGTACGTCAGAGGTTTTTGGTCAGTGAAAATGATCACTTCATGACCCTCCACTGAATGTCGGAATTGGCGTGTAGCACAGTACATAGCCAGAATTTCTATGCTGAGTGTTCTCTAATTTGTTTCTGCTAGTTTCGGACGCCTCGGGAAAAAGGCGAGTTGTTGCCGCTCTCTGCTGACTAGTTTTTGCAGAGCTGCGCCAATCTCAGGGTCTAATGCATCGACTGAGACACTTGACGGTACCGTTTGGTCCTGATATATAAGAAGGGTGGCATCCTCGATAGCTTTCTTCTACCTAAATGAAGACATTTTGAGCTGATGTGTCAAGTTCCATAAACCTGTTGTTCCCTCGAAGAATGTCTTTTAGCGGCTGAATAAAGGAGCCACATTTGGGTATTTTGCGTTGGTAATAAGTTACCTAGCCACTAAAAGTGCAAAGAGTTTTAGACGTATTTGGCTCCGGAAAGTTCAGCATCGCCTCAACTTAAATAGCCAATGAACGGATACCTACGCCGTCAGTAGTGTGGCCCAGAAAGTCGAGTGGATCGACGCCCATCTGAAACTTTTTAATATTAATGGTGACACCAAGTAGGCGTAACCTGTCGAATGCCAAGTTCAAGTGTTTAAGGTGAGCTTCGCTGTCTGGACTGGCAATAAGACAGCCATCTATGTATGCGTATACAAAGTCGAGACAGCGAAATACTCAGTCAATGAAGCGTCGGAATGTCTGTGCTGCATTCCGTAGGCCGAATGGCTTACGCAGAAATTAAAAAAGTTCGAAAGGCATAATAATAGCCGTTTCCGGAATATCTTCTGGTGCCATCGAGATTTGGTAATCCGCTTTGACCAAGTCGATTTCACAGAATATAGCCACACCAGATAATGTTGCCGTCAAGTCGTGTATATGAGGCGATGGGTAGAAATCAGGGGTCGTTTTAGCGTTTACTCGCCGGTAATCACCATTGGATCGTCAGTAATTGCCATCTTTTTTCGGTACCATATGCATTGGGAATGCCAGTGGGCTATTCGATGGCCGAAAGATGTCAAGGGTGAGCACGCTGTCGAACTCATTTCTACCGGCTCGTAGTATGCCAGGAGCAAGTCGTCGTGCTTTAGATGTCACGGGTTGTCCTGAGGTTATGATGTGGTGCAAAACATTGCTGGTTATGCATGGTAGGTCGTTAGGCGGGCAATTAAGCTCCGAGTACTGATCAACAATCAGTTGGAAAGTTGGATCAAAGATTGCCTTCTTCTCAACGAGTGACAAGCTATGGCATACGAAAGTGATGTCTTTACTATACAGTCTTGCAGTACTGTCTGTCAGTGGTTTTGCGGCGGACGTCTACGAGTAACTCATGATGGCTAGGTAGGTCCGTGACAATGATGGGCATTGTGACATCAGCAAGAAGAAAAATCCACTGTATATGTTCGCGTAAACCAACCTTCAGATAGACGTATTTCCTAACAAGGGTTGCAGTTGGTTTTCTATTTGCAGCCTGTAAGCTGAACGTAGTTTCCTTATGTCGATCTGCCGCTGTAGCATTTAGGAGACTGACTTCGGCGACTGTGTCGACTAAGAATCAAGTCTGGTTGACCATATCAAGAATGTATAGTAGGCGACTTGTGCCACCGGCGACGGTTGCCACTAAAACGTACCGGCGGGGTGGTTTCCCACAGTCTGAGAAATTACCAAAATTACAAATTTTCGGCAACACTTCGCTTCCTGGCCATAGGCGTTGTGATACCAGGACCGGTCAGGGCTTTTTAGTGGGTGTGGCTTGGATTTAG